GGCCGTCCGGCGGATTTCTCCGGCAACTCCTACATGACTTAACTTATTTTATCATAACATGATCATATATGTTGATCTTTCTTAAACTTACTGAATTTCGTTCGAAGGACTTGATTTATGACGAGGCGTGCGCACCATGCACACAAGTTCGGCTTTAGGCCTATACCTCAACTAATCGTGAAATTCCTCCGAACAATATTAAAAGTCTGACCTTAATACATCATTTTAAAGCTGTTGAGACATGAATTGCACAGACAAACTTGACCATAACAAAAGATAACACGACACGACATGTGACAGCCCGTGGGCATGCGCGACGTGCGCTGCCGACGGCTTTGAGCCAATTCAGGAACAAAAAGATTTCTTGCTTCGACCAACATGAAGTAACTGAGTGTAAAATAATCTAAGATGATCAAATAAACATGAATTGTTCATGAGTTGCCGGATAGAATTGAACTTTACTTGGTCATGACTTATAGTGGCCTAAACCGAGCCTATCATGACATATTCTATAAATTCTTGAAACATGAGCTGAACAATTCAACCTTACATGAACTCATTAACATGAAGAGAGGTTAAGGATAATTTACCTCCTCAATTGCCCGACAAAATCACAAGACTGATCGTGATCTTCTTGGTCCGTGCGTGTGCTAGCTTGCGGTAGACCTTCTTGCTTAAGGAAAAATTCTTCCAACTCTTCTCACTCACTCAATAATATATCTATATGTATGCTGAATAATATTCACGAGAAAGTGGGAAATTTTTCCCATTACCACTTTTATATATAGAAGAGCCGAGAGATGATGGATGATGCATAGCCTTGTTGGACAATTCTCCTTACCACACTTGTAGGCTTAATATTAATTTGAGATGATTACTCATCACTTTATTGGCCACCTCATGCTTAAGCTTAAGGTGAAAGATTTCCTTCCCATTAAGAAAACTCACGGCAATTAAAATGCTTTGGGAAAAAAAAAATATAGCTACGGCTTTTCAATTACTTAAACGTGATTAATTAATAATTAATCACTAATTCATGTTTAATTATTTAATTAAACATAGTGCTTAATTCCCAAAATTATTCCGAACGTAAACGAGACGTCGAAAATATTTTCGGGTATTCTCGACTGAAAATAATTAATTCCAAAAATTAATACTCGATAATATTAATATATCGGAACTAAAACATGTCCTATATTAATAAACTGACGGGATATTACACATATACTGGTATAGTAAAAAAAAAAA